ATTCACCATCTCCTATAAAGATTTTAACAAGAAATAAACTGTTACTTCACAGTTTTGAGCGATATAAAGAAGGAAACCTCTTCCATACATGTCTCCCATTTTTATTTAGAGAATTCAATCGTTTCTTAGAAACACCAAGACTAAAGGTCGCTGTGATGCTGGAGAAATCTCCGTAGCAGTTTCTGTTCTCCATATACTACGAAAGGGGAGATGGTCCTTTGAACTATCTGCACGGCCAGAGGAATCCAAGTGAGGATGGTGGAGGCAAAAGCAGTCCACGGATAAACGTCCATCTCCCACTGGATGGTATGACCATGACAGTACAAAGGCCAGGCTAGAGACCACAGAGACGCGCCAGGGGGGACTTCAGAGATCATCCGCTCCCAAGAGGAAGGAGTGAGCCTCCTCAGCAGCCAGTGGAGGACCAGAGGCTAAAGGGTTATTTGAAACAGGAGCCCGACAGGTAAAAAAGCAAGCACGGTTGTTGTGTTTTCTGGGTGTCTCCGTGTGACTGTCCCCCCTCTGGACAGCTGGAATCCAACCAGAAAGGCTGAAGGCTCCAAGTTGGTCTGGAAACGGAGTAGGGGAGGAATATACAGCCCTTGGGAACACAAGGAGGTCAGATTTATCTTTATTCTCAAGAGAGGCTACGAGAATTCTTAACCAGAATCTAAGAGCTATAAAAAAAAAAAAAAAAGGCAGCTGTGCAACCAGCTGGAGGAAGCTCGAGCCAGAACGGGCTTGGGCCGTCGGCAGGGGGGCAGGGGCCCCGCTGCCACTTGCCTGTGTAACCTGACTGCTCTGCCCCGTGTTAGCGGGAGGACCCTTGGCGGGCTGTCACCGCCTGGCCTGCAGCCCCTCGCCTGCCCCTGCCCGTGCGGGGGGCCACCCGCTCTGGAGTCCTGGACGCCACCCAGGCACACACACCAAACCACCCCCGCGGAAGGGAGAAGCAACAGGCGCTGTACTGGTCTGGGAAGAGCTGTTCTAGGTCCCAGCGAGACAGAGCTGGCGCCGGACGTGCTGAATCCCTCGCTTTAGGAGTGTCGTTAGTCACACTCTGTGTTCTGACCCTCGTGTTCTATGCAGGGTCAGGTCAACAAACCTGATCACAGGTTAATCAACAAGTGTGGGGAGCAGCCGCCCTGCTCCGCCAGGGGGCCCAGCTGCTTCGGCTGCAGAAGGACAAACCGCCGGACTCTAGCTCTAAAGCCTGCCTCCCGCACACATCGTCCCACGGCCCGGCCCTGGGGGCCACAAGCAAACGCGCACACCCCCAGATCCCGCCACCGAGGAGCCCATCACCCCACCAGCAACCTATGGATTGAGATAGACCTTCGCCTTCCCATATAGGATATTAAGGCTCAAGGAGGGGCCCTTGCAGGGCTCAGTGGTTGAGCATCTGCCTTCAGTTCAGGGCGTGACCCCAGGGTCCTGGGATCGAGTTCCCCCCCACAGAGCCTGCTTCTCTCTCTGCCTGTGTCTCTGCCTCTCTCTCTCTGTGTCTCTCAGCAATAAATAACTAAAATCTTAAAAAAAAAAAAAAGGCACAAGGCTGTGGGTGTTTGTGAAGGATTAATTAAAATAACAGATATAGGATATTAGATAAATCCCTTGGTTTTAAATATAAAAAAATCGCTTCTGTACTTGCCATCGCAGAGAAACTGGCACAATTAGTTGGTTACATAAAAGCTGCTTTTTTTTTTTTCCTTTAAAAAGATATACAAATCCTATTTGGAGTAACTCTTCCAGCCCCAGAAATAGACATTTTATCACTTAGTTTAAAAACACAAATACAGTATCAGAACTTGGGCAACCTTGGGCTAGTGGGGGGAAAAAAACAACTAACTGACCAAACCAATCAACGAATCAATAAATCCCATCAACACTGTTTCTGGTCAGAGGAAAAGAAAACAGAGTAAATGCACCCAAAACTCATTTTCATATTTAACACAAACCTTGGTAATTTGCATTGTGGGCGAGGCAGTTTGGAAGAGATGTGAAGTTACAGAGGGAGGGACACTGCATCTAGATGCTGCCTCCTGTGCTTTCCATGACCAAAGCATCTCTTCTATTGAAGGTAGGGATTTTACTTTTTTTCCCCAAGATTTTATTTATTTATTCATGAGAGACACAGAGAGAGGCAGAGACACAGGTAGAGGGAGAAGCAGGCTCCCTGCAGGGAGCTCGATGCAGGACTCAATCCCAGGATCCCAGGGTCATGACCTGAGCCAAAGGCAGATACTTAACCCCTGAGCCACCCAGGTGTCCCGGGATTTTTGCTTTTAATGCTATACATATAATAAAGGCTTAGCCATCATCCCTGAAGTATATGGACTGTGATTGTTTCCATAGTCCTCATGAAAGGTTTTCATAAGTCATGCAGCATCCCCTGCCATGGTAGCCCCGGGACAGAGCACAGCTGGCTGGCCTTCATAGGCACTGAAGCTGCAACCTTCAGTGTGAACGTAATAGACTTAAGCTGGATATGGATAATTTCAATACTTCCAGCTGCAAGACAAAGGAAATGACTCAGCCTGTGCCCAGTATGCAAGAGAAACAGGAGAGAGAAATGTCCTGATCAAGTGACATAAATGCATATTTTCTCAAGGCAATTAGCAGAGTTTCTCTTACTGTGCCCTCGGGTTCCTTTAGTTGTCATTATTGTTTTGCTTTGCTGTTTAAATTTTATGTGCGATTGCAGAGTCAGTGAGAATCTTTAACAGAGGCGATCTTGGTCACACAATATTAGTGAATACAATACATGGCCCACATTTTGTGCTATAGCAAAAATTCATGACAAAAACTTCACCTGCAATCTGTAGGACTATAAGGAACTTCCTACTATGCTTCAAGTTTATGAAAGGGCTTCTGGCTGGATTAAGACCTCTGGGGACCTGGGACGCCTGGATGGCTCAGCAGTTGAGCATCTGCCTTTGGCTCACAATGTGATCCCAGAGTCCCAGGATCGAGTCCCAGGATCGAGTCCCACATCGGGCTCCCTGCAGGGAGCCTGCTTCTCCCTCTGCCTGTGTCTCTGCCCCTCTCTCTGTGTCTCTCATGAATAAATTAATAAAATCTTAAAAAAAAAAAAGACTGCAGGAGACCCAAAGAAAGAAAGAGATAACATCTCTAATATGTACCCCAAAGTCATATTTAGGGATGCTGAAATTAAAGTTGCTGATGTCTAGATTTTCAAAATGGCAAAATTCTAGATAAATTTATCAGAGCAAAACTTTTCTCTATTTTCAGGGCTTCTGTGTTACTACATACAGGCTTCAACTGCTTCCTAGATGATCCAACTGATTTTGGGGGGGTCAGCTTGGCCCCCACTACCAAGTATGAGATTAAATGTCAGACCTTCACGCAATCACAAGAGACTATGTGTCGTGAGCTCTTAATAAACATCTCCAGAGCTATGAAATTCATGGGTTTTATAATGACTTGAAGGTCTTTCGTTGCTGTGGTTATCCTGGCTCTCACAGCTCTATTTTGAAAGACTGACCCCTTACCAGCTGGGGTGTCATTTTCTGTAAATCGTGTTCCTTTACACTTCATCTGGGTTGAATAATATAGAAAAGGATTTACAGTCAATTTTTCTGCATCTATTAAAAAATAGGTTGTGTCCTATTCCCTGCTTCAATTAAAAAATCAATGTCATTTTAAGGCCACGGGTCAGTGGACTCCTGGATTGCTCAACCAGTGTGAAGCCAAAGTGATGCCGGCCAAGATGACCTTGACTAGAACAATCGAGGAGGTTCACTTTTTCCATGTGAAAAGCTTTCCTACTCAAGACATTTTGTTTGGCTGATGCTGAACTCAGTCCACGCTCTAGTCCAGGGCTTGAGGTTTTAAAAATCAGAGGCCTGAAGATCTATTACTAGGAAGTCAGAACCACTCAGAGAAGTGGCCCCCAAAGACCTAGAGTGGAGGAGGTAGAGAAGCAAGAAGTAGCAGGGGAGATCATCTGGAAACTAGACATTCTTCCTCCTTACTGGATTATAAATGACTTAACACTTAGTACCTGATGATCAGAAACCTTCTGACTTAGGCCTCAGCGACTCACCTGTGGTCTTGTCCATCATGGTCATAAGACAACAGGACGGTACAATTTCTCCTTCTGGAAGCGTGTCTTTTCTTATACAAGGTTCATCCTTTGATATAGTTTCAAAAATTCTTCACCTTAAGGCAAAGTTTGTTTGTGGGTTCACCTCTAAATACATTCAGGAAACAAGTACTTCTCTCGTGCCCAGCCCAGGGCCCAGGGAGAGGTCAGTGAACAGAAGGAGCAGTGTTCCCACTCTCGCGGACCAGCCCGCTGTAACTGGACCCATCACAATCAGAGAGCACTTTCTTTCATCGCTGCTCTTACTCAAAGAGGCCATTTGGGAAGAAAATTAAAACCATTTCTAGTACCGTGAAAACCTTTCGGAATTTTAATGTTCTGAAGCAGGTCTCCCGAAAGACCTCCTTGTCTGTAGCAAACGAACATACTTCTAAGCAAATGACAAGCATGAATATTTCTAAGCACGAATAGAAATGAGGAGACATGCTCTCATCCACATGGGTTTCCAGATGGTAGATTCATCCTATTTCAAAAACTGCATAGAAATTCTGCACCGTTGTATAAAAACGTGGTGGTTGACATGACCTGAAGGATCATATTATCTAACTGTGCAAAGTAACATTATTCACCAAAAAATGGCCTGCTCATGCAGAAAAAAGAGAGAGAGAAAGAGAGAGAGAGAGAGAGAGAAACGATCTCCTCTAGCTTTGTATGGAAAATTAGTCTACACACTGTCTCCTAACTGTTCCAGCTGTGCTAAGCAAGAGCTGTCACGCTTTGTGGAAACACCACCTTAAATTATTGTGATTCTGGTAAAAGGGTCTAATTATTTTTTTGAAGCTGTCATTTTTTTTGAGCACATGAATAATTCTAACCCTTTTCTTAACCTGTGAAATGACTGCACTTTCCCAAATGAGGAGTCTTATTAGAAGGGTTATTATAGCCATCTCCAACCTTCTCCTCCAGTTGACCCACTATATTTTTATTTATTTGCACCTGGTGCACATCAACATCCATCACCATAAACAATACTTTTCAGTTGCATTGAGTTGCAAATTTGATTCCAGAGTCAAAGAAAAAAAAAACACCTTATTTAAAACATGTATCCTGCAATGGGATGTTCTCTCATCCTCTTATATGTCTTCTAAGAGTACGGTTATTTAAAAATGAGAGTTTCATGCTCGGGAATACCGTACTTTCTTTTGTGTGCTTCAAATAATTTCCTTAGCTCCTCCATATAGGTCTGATGCAACTCCTCAATCTGTTCCGGGCTTGGGTGCGGAGTCCGATGAACAGGGATTGGGCGGCCAACTGCAAAAATACAGAATACATCAGATGTAAGAAGACAAAATCACTCCACCACAAACTACTGCCTCTACTGGATGGCCCTGGAAAGATCTGCCAATCAGAATCTGTCAGGCCTGCTTGCTCCAATCCCTTGTTCATCTCCCTGGCTGTCTCCAACTATCACGCCATCCCATTTGATAACAAATAAAGAACTTTCCTCAGCAGTTGCTGCAGTGGAAGTACCCTGGTGGTTTTGACTTCGAGTCAAATGAACTACTGGGCTGACCACAGCTGTGAGTAAGAGGACATAGCTGTGTGGGCATGTCACTGGTACTGTCCCTCTGGTACAGCTGGTGTCCAGGCCACAGTGCCCTATTGTCGCCAACTGCAAACTCTTTGAGTCATGAGGCACTGGCCCTCTGCTCTCTTTTTCATGTCATTTAAAAAAATTTCAAGAATGTATATCTTCATAGCTAAGAATCTGCATTAGAAAACACACACAATCACAAGAATCCTATTGTTGGTAAGAGTAGAAAACAAAACCAAGCAGAAGTCCCAGTAGAAAATTCACTAAATAAACCACAGAACATTCACTCAACAGAATCTTAGGCAGCAGGTTTTTTTTTTTAAAAATGAAATTATATGCATACACACACACACACATCGAGGTCTAGAACATATGAAGTAGGAAAAAGAGTTGTAAAATAGTATGGTATGATCCCATTTATGGAAAAAATATTTATATTCTTAGGTGTATTATAAGCTTTAGTGTGTTTAAAAAGTCTAGAAATAGACGGATAACCATTACCTCTAGGAAGGAAGGAAGGTAGAGACGGGGAAGTTTTCCCTCTATCTGTATTGCAGGAATTTTTTACAATGAGGATGCATTTGTGACTTGCCTGTCATTAAAAATCAACTAATTATTATTTAATCTGGCAACTTCTTTACATATTTAAAAAGGTGTTTAGAGGTGTCTCAGATTTTTCAGAACTACAAGACACACGTGGCTTTGGCATCTGCTCTCCTGGGTCCTCCCTGCTGTTCACTGCGCCCTCTGCTGCTTACTGATGCCAAGAGTTGAAAACCTGTGACAGGTTTTAGCAACTTGCTGGGCAGCAAAGAGCTCCTTCCTTCCCTCTATTAACTTGGGTAATAGGTCAAGTAGGGCCATAGGAAATAGAACTCTGAGGGTGAGAGGTGGCGTCCTTTGGCCTAGCCTAGGTTGTCCTGTGCTCCATGCGAGGTCCACATCCATGTCAGTAACAGAAAGTGGAGAGTTCAAGAGCAAACCAAGCAAATGTTAAGTCACAGAGAAAGGAGAAAGTGATAAATGACATCAGTATGGGAGGTAAGGGGGCACAGAGAAGGGAGTGATACACACACACACACATACATAACAAAATGCATTATTAAGAAGATATCTCCATCCATCCATCCATCCATCCAACCATCCATCCATCCATCTAAGGCAGTAAGGAGAGATATATATAGATACACATAATAAATATCACCTTACTGCAGTATTAGTATTCTCAAATTGCTAAGTCTTTAACCAGATAAAGCCTCAAGATTCTCACAGACAGGTCTCTTTGATAGCCTGGATGTCAAATTTACAAAGAGTGCACATCAGTCTTTTGTCACTCAACATAATGAACTGGAAACGTCTTGCTGTCAGTTGTGGTTGGAAATACAGAGGAAGAGAGGCTAACGCGGTGACGGGGTGGAACGGGGGCTGGTGCAGGCGCGAGACTGGAGACAAGGTCTAGTCCCTCACCAACAAATGCATTACTAAGCTAGGAACTCCTCTTTGGCCTTAATCTCTACATGTCTAGGATACACAAGTAGAACTCAATGATCTTGAAGCCTCTTTCCAACTCTGATCTTTTTGTTTCAAGAAAAACACTCAGAAATCTACATGTGAATTGAGAATCTACCAGCCAATGCCACTCTACCAGCAAATTTGCAGTTGTATAGAAAAATAGCTTCAAGGTGAAGGGCAACTATTCCTGGCGGGAGTTGGGAGGGGGCTTAGAGAGACAAAGCGATCTGAGAAGGTGAAGCATGTTGTTCCCAGCTTACTTTAATTAAGACTTGTGAATTATTAAGTCTTACTTCCTCTGAGCTCTACTACAGCTTTTTAAAAAAGATTTTATTTATTTATTCATGAGAGACACAGGCAGAGGGAGAAGCAGGCTCCATGCTGGGAGCCCCATGTGAGACTCGATTCCAGGACCCTGGGATCACGCCCTGAGCCAAAAAGGCAGATGCTCAACTGCCAAGCCACCCAGGCGTCCCTCCTACAGCTAATCTCAATCCTGTTCTTTTCTTTTTAATGGGTTCACTATATATTAGATGGTTCTTCCAGAGAGCTCAAACATGCCCATATATACTCAATTTATCATAAGACCTTTCTTTTTAAAGTGTGAAATGGACTGCTTCATCCTTGCCTCTCTCTCATTTACACGTAGAGAAACTGAGATGCTGGAAATTCCCAAACTACACACACACACACACACACACACACACACACAGAATTCAGGAGGTAAAGCCAGTACTCCTGCCCCCCCCCACTAACCCCAAAACTGGATTAGAAATTAAGAAATATTTCTCAATTACTTTTTAGGGTTAAAGACAGAGGTAACAAAACAAAGACTTGCAAATCTATGAAGGGTCTCCAGAGCCCTAGGAGACCAGAATTCTCTCTCTACAAAAAAGGAGATTTTTTACTGCCAAGGAAAAGAAAACAAACCTAAAGACTAAATTAGCTGCAAATTGCCCTGTAACTCTCTTTTTACAACACAAAGGGAAAACCCCAGTTGCCTCAGCCTGCTTTTGGAAATGAACTCCTGGCCCTGGAAAAATCAGCCAACATCTCCTTGTGGCAGTCAGGAATCATAGCGGCCCTGTTTATGTTTCGGTGCTTTTTATAGCTGGTGGTAGCGTTTGTTCCATTTTCCAACTCCATCCAGCAATTCAAGATTAGTTATGCACTTACGGCCTCGCGGAGCAGCCTCAGCCCCATCTCTAGGGTGCTGTGTCGTGTTTACCTGAGAAGAAGAATGAGCAGCTTCATAGCCAGTGTACACACAGCTGGAGAGGAGTTTGGAAATGGGCATTATTTTCTTCTCATCGAGGCAAAGAGTAGATCCTCTGCAATAAGGAATCTTTGCTCTATTTTTCTTTAAGCATTGAAAATGCCACCAAGTTTATGGCTCTGACGGTCTCACACAGGAATCAGACCTTCTCTGGATGCTGCACAGCTGTACACTAGAGAAAGCGAGGCTACTGGTCCGGGGGTCAGGAAGAGTCAACGTGTGAGTGCCCATGAGACCTGGGCTCACTGAACCCCTGACTTACAGCAGAGGCTCAAATATGCTCATTGTAAGACAGTGTGTGTGTGTGTCTGTGTGTGTGTGAGTGTGTGTGTGTGTGTGTGTGTGTGTAAGCACTCACACACTCACTCAAAAACATTTATTAAATACTTAATGGGTTGTACTGGGCACTATGCTAATCTCCCGGAACATTTTTATCTCCTTAAATCCCTACTTTACATTCAAATTTAAATTAGGCACCCCTTCCTTTCTTTGCATTTCAGAGAATCCCTTAGCCTGCTCTTTTCTTCCCATCAGGAAACAATAATGACTTGAAATATAATGGACTACTTTTGTCCTCAAGTGGTTTCAAACCAGTTGTATTCTATTAAAGCACATTCCTTTTCCTGTCTTTATGTTAAAAAATTCAAAATTATAGAAAGAATAACGAAGTAAGCACTTGCATACTCTTCCTCTAGACTCTGGAGTTTTGAATAGTTTGTGTGCACACACACCCCCGCCACACGCATGCACATATGTACATACGTGTTATTTTTATTTTGTCGACCCATTTGAAAATAGCTTGTAGACATTAATGGTTCAATCGTGTTATCGTCCCCAAATATTGTGGCATGAAGCACCTAAGAACAAGAACACTGTCCTTTCTAACACCACCATCATCACACTTCTACATGATATTATTTTGTACTGAATCCACATTCAAACTCGATGAATGATCTCAATGATATCCTTAGAGTCGTTTTCCCCATGCCAGCTGTTGTGTCTTTGGGTGCTCTCTCCTTTTGGTCTTTCATGACCTCAATATTTTGGAAGAATCCAGACCGGTTGTTCAATACAATGTCTCACGATCTGAATTTGCCTATCTCCCCATGATTTGATTCAGACAAACACTAAGGCAAGAATACTTACAAAGATGGAAACACACTTAAGAGCTCTCAACAATCAGGCCAGGAAGCTTCCTGCAGTATATACCACCCCATAATCTCCTAGCACCTGGGGTGTACAGAGTGCTTTCCTACCTACCATGTCATTTGATGCCCAGAATAACCCTGGGCAAAGACAGGAAAATTATAACAGTCTCTTCTCCAGAGTTGGAAAGTCCGAGGCTCGGGGAGGAGAAATGAAGCCGCCTAAGTCACCCTGAATCAGATCCCAAACCCACATCACTTCCTTTTGTACACCTGGCTAATGCACGATAAACAGCTCCTTAATGTCAACATTGAGGTCTTTGTGTGGCTGGTGTCTGAGCATCAGCCACTACCACCATGTTGGGCCTACAATGGAAAGAACCAATTTCTTAATGGCAGTGGTTACATTTTTCCGTTTTGCCGTAAGCTTAAAAATGAAACAAACACACCCATCACATCCATAATTAAAAGGCAGACTAAGGAGTTATGAAGCCAGTGGAAGTTGTGAGACTGGACAGGATGGAGACCCTTCCTTGTCAACCCAGCCGACAAGCCTCTCTGGGTATCCAGAATTCAAATAATCTAACACTGGGAGGAGGGAGAGCCAGTTGATTAATAGGGAAGGAATGCAAGAGTTAGACCACCACCAGTTTGCAACCGTAACTGCCTTAATTGATTCAGGCAGGAATTATCAATGGATATTAAAGCCATCAAGTAAAGGCTGATAAGCAGAATAGTTACACAGTATCTAAGTAACACTATCCCCAGGTTACTCATCAATGAAAAGCAAAAAGTCTCGATAAATACATATATGATACAGATTATATATTTACATATATAAACTGTAGTAAATCTTTATGATTTAACTTTATAGCAGAGAAACCTGGCAAGCACTCCACTCAAGTGATCAAAATGAATATCCCCCACAATGGCACAAAGTGACACCAAGGGCCTCTTGATATGATGCACTGAGGAAGACACAACACCACTTCTGTGGAATTCCTGCCACGTATACAGAAGTGGGGCGTCATCATGAGTGAAACACGCCAACTCAAGTTGGGGAACGTTCTACAAACCACTGACCTATATTCCTCCCCACTGCTTGTGTCATGAAGACCAAAGGAAGTTGAAAGACTAATCCAGCTGGAAGCAGGTTGAAGAGGTGTAAAAACTGGATGCAACATATGATCCTGTTTAGGAAAAGAAGCACTTGACCCTCCCTGCCCACTAACCCCCAAAAGCTAAGAAGGAAATTATTGTGGCAGTTGGTGGAATTTAAATACACACTCTACACTGGCTAACAGCTATCTGTCAACGCCCGATTTCCTGAACTGCACTGACATTATAGGAGAGAATCATCTTGCTCTTAGGGGAGATACACAGGAGCAAACGTCATGATGTCTGTACATACTCAGTTGAGCAATAACAACAGTAGAGGGTATTTATTATAGCGTTAGAGAGAGAAAAACTGTAGTAAATGTAAATGTTACCAGCTGGTGAGTGGGGGAGCAGGTACACAGGGGTTCATTTTCCTACTCATGAGACTTTTCTGGACCCTTGAGATTTTCCAACATGAACTTTCAAAAATTAAAATTGACATATACTAGGATGTATGAAATCTTCTCCCTTTAAATGGCAAGTTTCCTTGCCTCTCTTACTTTCTTCCCCAAACAGGCAACTTCGCATCCTCACACCCATACTGGCTCTACACTGCGAATTGAACGGTAGCTTGCCTTAGAATGTTTAACGTGTACTTGTTGGAGACCTGGAAACGGAGGAGAAGAATGATTTGTTTACATATGTGCCTTGAGCCTCTATCCTGTGGGTGCCAGGAATGAAGCAGAGTCCCTGCTTTCCTGGAGCTCGATATTGTAGAAACACACAGAGCAATTCCAAGGAACTGCAATTCTTTACACGTGGTTCTTACAGTCTAAACTTCTTTCAGTTATCCCTCCTGGTTATCACCATGGATGTGATATTTAAATCAGTTTCTTTCCATCATTTATGTAATGAACCACAAGGTATGGGAACATCTTACTAGCTTTTGATAAACTGACAATAACAAAATATGTAAATTGTATGCTATTTGCATAATGTGTAAACCAAATATATGGTATCTTCTTCTTTTTTTTTTTTTACTTTTTTACTTAGGCTTTTACTTTATTTATTTATTTTTTTAATTTTTTTTATTTATTTATGATAGTCACACAGAATGAGAGAGAGAGGCAGAGACATAGGCAGAGGGAGAAGCTGGCCCCATGCACCGGGTTAGGCTTTTACTTTAATTCCAGTATAGCTAATACATAGTATTATATTAGTTCTAGGTGTACAGCATAGTGAGTCAGCAATTCTATGCATTGCTCAGGGCTCATCATGATAAGCGTTCTCTTCATCCCCACCACCTATTCCCCTCATCACCCCCCACCGATTACCCTCTGGTAACCTGTTTGTTCTCTACAGTTAAGCATTTATTTCTTGGTTTCTCTCTTTTTTTTTTTTCTTAAATTCCACATACGAGTGAGATCATATGGCACTTTTCTTTCTCTGGCTTATTATGTTGAGCATTATACTGTCCTCCATCCATGTTGTTGCAAACGGCAAGATTTCACTCTTCACAGCTGAATACTCCTCCACTGAATATATATGCCACATCTTCTTAATTCATCAATCCATGGATGCCTGGGCTGCTTCGGTGACTTGGCGGTTGTAAATAATGCTGCAGTAATCATAGGGGTGCATGTATCTCTTTCAATTTGTGTCTTCATATTGTCTTGGTTTAATTCCCAATTGTGCAATTACTGGATCATGGGGCAGGTCCATTTTCAACTTTTTGAGGAACCTCTATACTGTCTTCTACGGTGGCTGTACTGTTTACATTCCTACCAACAGAGCACGAGGGTTCCCATTTCTTCACATCCTCACCAACACGTATTTTTCTTGTGTTTTCTAGTTTAGCCACTCAGACAGGTGTGAGGTGACATCTCATTGTGGTTTTGATTTGCATCTCCCTGATGCTGAGGGATGTGGAGCATCTTTTCATGTATCTGTTGGCCACCTGTATTTCCTCTTTGGAGAAACCTCTGTTCATGTCTTCTGCCCTTTTTTTTTTTTTAAAGACTTTATTTATTAAAGAGAGAGAAAAAGAGAGAGAGAGAGAGAGAGAAGAGAGGGAGAGAACAAGAGCGCACAAGCAAGGGGAGTAGCAGGCAGAGGGAAAAGTAGGCTCCCCATAGAGAAGGAAGCTCAACATGAGACTCGATCCCAGGACCCTGGGATCATGCCCTATGCTGAAGGCAGGTGCTCAACCGCTGAGCCACCCAGGCATCCCAGCTTTGTTTCTGTTTATGGAACTGTCAATACTCTATACTCCTCTGTGTTACTTCAAATAAAAGTCTTCATTTTATTTTTTTTAAGTCGGCTCCAAGCCCACTGTAGGGCTTGAACTCACAACCTGGAGATGGAGCATCGTGTGCTCTACTGACTAAGCCAGCCAGGCTCCCCACAAGTAAAAGCCTTTAAATGCACACAGGGTGTGACGGTGCATGGGGGGCCCACATCAGGCTGCTCTCAAGCATCTGACTTCCACTCACCACCAGGAGATCACATGCACGCCAGCTAAGATTTTATGTAAACATTCATATTCTCAGCTTCATTTTTAAAAGGCTTCAAATAATAGCAGGAGACTGAGGATGCTAGAGACTAGATATGGCATTTCCAATGAAGTAATTTGGGAGCTAAGTGGAAGGGCACGTTGAAGTCATTTTCCCTTATTCTTTTTTTTTAAATATTTTATTTATTTATTCATGAGACACACACACAGAGAGGCAGAGACTAAGTCAGAGGGAGAAGCAGGCTCCCTGAAGGGAGCCCGATGTGGGACTCAATCCCAGGACCTGGGGATCACACGCTGGGCCAAAGGCAGATGCTCAACCACTGAGCCCCCCAGGTGTCCCAATTTTCCCTTATTCTAAATCTTGAAGAGAAGCACGTTAGGCAAGAACGAAAACCAGAGCTCTAGGTTTTCTAGTCTCAACAACGAATTCAGATTCAGTCATTTCCATTTGACTCCCCGACCAGCTCATTATCTGTCTGTAGAGTTATAACCAGGCTGCATCCTACGGTAACCACTTAACTTAAAACTAAACTTTAATCCCACCAGGGGGATAACTGTCATCATTTAAATCCACAAAATACATTTGGCTTTCAACCCTGCAATGTATTGCCTGTGCATGGGCTCCACTTGACTGAACTTATAGGTTCCCAAAAATTGTGTCTTTCAATTTCCCTTATATCTCCCAAAATGTCAACTCTAGGACTTTGCAGATAAGGAACCAGAAATGACGATTTAATATTACGGCAAAGAGAAATCAGGGCCTAACCCACGTCGATTACCTTGTTAGTGCATTTTACACCAAAGAAACGTAACTAGCTTATCTTGGAAAAACACAATCGCAAACTTATCTCTGTGTTCCCACTACACGAACTGATCGAACAGTCTGGTACCATTCCATTTGAGTTAAATAGCGGCATTTATAAACGGTGTCACATGACCACACGTGCCATGCAAAGCTCTCAGAACCTGACGGTGGGGGTCAAATCCCATTCTAATGAAACAGATCCGAAAACAAAATTTTGGGATGTCATTTAATGGCCCATCTGTGGTGAAACTATTCCTTCCAGTTTCAGATGAAGCACACAGCTCGGGTAACTGTGCTCGTAGCCCCCGGCTCGGGACTTTCTCCTGTTCCGCACCCCAGGTCACTTGTAATGGGAAGGGCTCAGGACTCTGCCCCTCGGCCCTAACCAAGAGTCCATCACCCTCCTCCTCCATCTCAATTCCCTCCCAATGCACCACGTTTTATTTATTTTTTTAAAAAATTATTTATTTATTTATGATAGTCACACAGAGAGAGAGAGAGAGAGAGGCAGAGACATAGGCAGAGGGAGAACCAGGCTCCATGCACCGGGAGCCCGACGTGGGATTCGATCCTGGGTGTCCAGGATCACGCCCTGGGCCAAAGGCAGGCACCAAACCGCTGTGCCACCCAGGGATCCCTGCACCACGTTTTAAAATAAATTCAGCTCATACGAGAATACATATAAAAATAGCGTGTGGACCCCCAACGTGCTCTTGCTACAGAAGCCAGTGCCCATGTGACCCGAACACAAAGATGACGACGACACCTGTTACACAGAAATCTGCCGATACTCATAGGCTGATGTAAATGTGTTCATCACAGAATTGCTATGTTACAATCTGCTGGCAGAGAAACAGACTCGTGGAGAGTACTAGAAACTCGATGTCGAAATTGGATTCTCCCTGCAATTCAATAGTAGTATTCCTCAAAGTGATCAATTCCCAAATGGAAAATGCAGTCATTTCTTGGCTAAAAGGCATACCGTAAATGAGGCTCAACTACCATCTACAGGATTCTTTTTCAGGAAGTTCTTTACCCAAAGCCATTTTTCTCGCATAAGCACTGCAATCAGCAGCAATAACGATGCTCAAGGTTAAGGTGATGCGTCTACTCATCCTAGCAAGCCTTTAGTCTTCGATGTACATACCCACAGTGTGGATAGGTTTCCTATAGGGCATCAGGCCAAAATTGTATTGAAAAATCCCTCTGGCATGGAACAGAGGCAAAGCAAACCCCATGATCTTCTGTAGCTTCTCCTGCACAGTTCGAAGCCATGAGCCTTCAGGGTTGTTAACTTGCTTAAATAGTTCGTTTTCTCCAAAAGAAAACACCGGGACCAAGGAGGCACTACAAATAACAAAGGGGGGAAGAATATGCATTTTTTTTCAAGGAAAAAGATTTAAGTATTTTCTTCTGTTCAGAGACTTCTGCAACATATCCCAACCACTTTCCAAAGTCCCCACATCTCCCTGTACCACTAAGTTCACATCCCACACAGTGAAACCGACTTCTGTTTGAAACCCTTTGGGGACGTATTTTAGCAGGTCAATGTCTCGTGGGATTTTATTCCATAGAAAAATCAAGGCCCCAGGAGGCTTCTTTTCTACCTATCGTTGGGGCCATGATTCGTTTGTTCATTGGGCTGGACGTTTATACTCTGTATATATAAAATTTTGTATTTTTGTTTTTTAAAAAAGGATTCTATTAACTTATTATTTTAAAGATTTTATTTGTTTATTCATGAGAGAGAAGGGGGGGCAGAGACACAGGCAGAGGGAGAAGCAAGCTCCATGCAGGGAGCCTGACGCAGGACTCGATCCCGGGACTACAGGATCACACCCTGGGCTGAAGGTGGCGTTAAACCGCTAAGCCACCCGGGCAGTCCGGATCTATTTATTTATTTGACAGAGAGAGAGAGAGAGAGAGAGAGAGAGAGAGAGAATATGAATATGAATGAGAGGCAGGGAGCAGCCCTGGGAAAGAGAGAAGCAGCCTCCCTGCGGAGCAGGGACCCATGTGGGGCTCGATCCCAGGACCTGGGATCATGACCGGAGCCGAAGGTATAGGCCGAACTGACTGAGCCACCTGGGCCCCCCCCCCGTTTGCTTTGCCTTTAAAGGTAAGTTTAACTTCTGGCTCCCACGGGGCTGAGCTCCCTCAGTGGGACGGTTGTACCCATTTTCCACGAACATCCACATCTGCTTTTACCGTAGGGTCAGCTAAGAGGAAGTCTGCTTTAAGGACGAGAAAAATTACCTTATTTCTTGTGTTCATTTAATGATGCCTTAACTTCTCTACCCCAGGTACTGGAAACGAGAAGCGACTTACCCATGGGTCAAAGCCACTTTAACAAATCCTTTCCGCTGGCGGATGAACAGAGTGAATTTTCCAGGATGGGCATCCAGCGATTCTTCTGCACCCCCAAGAACAATGACTGAAATGTTTCCACCTCCCTCCTTGCTCAGCACATAGGACACACTTTTCTTAGAAACTGAGACTGACCCTTAATGAAGAAAATAAAAGGGCTTAAGTATTTAGCGTGTCTTAAAAATGAAAATATTCTTCACCATAATGTTCTTTGACGTCAGTGAACATTTAACAAAATTCCCGGGCCTGCTTACATTTGGAACAGCTTATATTTATAATTTTGTCACAGCCAGATAGATCTTTGGTAACATATTCCATTAGTAAGATCTAACATTTCGGCAGGTGATGGGTTAGGTCGTTAAAATGTCACTTGTTATTAGATTCACCACCTATTTGGGTGGGCTGTACACTTGCTCAACTCTACGGACTCTATTCATATTGTATGATAAGTAAAAGGTGCCTTGTGCAGTTGTTCAGTGTACAACCTGCATAGCTGTACATGGTGACCTTGACCACTACCACCCTGGTGAATCTTGGCTCAGGATCAAAAAGCATATCCTTTCCAAGAGGTTACACTGGATCTTCTGAACACAAAAGGGCCTGTTTTCAGATATCCTATACGGGTTGTTTCCCAAACTTAGATTTATAGTGTAAATGGTGTTTAAAAATTCAGACATTTGACAAATAACCAGATCTTTACATAGTTCCAAAAATGTCTAGTCTGATTTTAGTGAATTGTTTATTGAAGACAGTCATATAATTGTTCAGTCTTTGTACCAGGCATTTTCCTACAGAAAAATAACGCTTAAAGATTCCTTTTCAGACTTTGAACATACTATGTACTCTTGGAGGAAAATACCATGAAGTCTTAAAGGAAAAGAGTAAAAATGAAAACACAAGCCACTCATGACCTGTATTTCAGAGATAATTGCTTTTTAAAGTCTTATCATTTTCTCCCATTCTTGGCTTTAACCATTTTCTTTGAGTCATACAAGAATGCGTCAGACAGGCTTTATTAAGACACAACACACTTCACTTCTCAAAGGAAAACTATATGCTCATTTTACTGTGAGATCCTATTACTGGGGGAATAGAAAATGATTCAGGATTCCGAGTGACCAACCACTTACTAAGGAGGCAGAGGGTGGCGGGGGTGGGTGAGGACAGAGAAGCTGAGTCTCAATGGGTTTGAACTTCCCCTGAGTTCAAGGCATCACCATTCTGCCCTGCGTGCGCTGAGCGGGAGCTGGAGGCATTACTTTCATTGGAAAGAGGGCCTTGGGGGCTACCAGACCCTGGCTCTCCTCTGGCCACGCCTCCGGTCCCTCTCTAGGCTCTGCTGATAGGCCATCCTTAAAGGCTGCTCGGTCTTAGGGCTCTAAGAACTGCATATATTCATTCCTCTAAAATCTCTATGTTGGAACCCTCATCCCCCATAGGATGGTATTAAGAAATAGGGCCTTTAGGAAGTAATGGGGTCATGAGAACATAGCCCCCCAAATGGGATCTGTGTTCTTATAAAAAGAGGGAGGGAGGTAGGGTGCTGTCTCTCCGTCATGTGAGGATGTAACAGGATGGCTGCCCTTCAGCCAGAGAGGGTCTCGAACTGGACCCTGGATCTGCCAGGGCCTTAATCTTGGATATCCCGTCACCCGGGCTACAGTTCTGTGTTACAGCAGGCTGAACTAAGACAGGCTCCTTCTTGGTCCGTGATCCTTCTAATGTTATCTACACACGTGGACTCAACTAACACTTACGTGTGCCGAGCTCTCCTAAATCTATCTCCTGGGATGTCTTCCTCCCATAATTCCTTTTATAAAAAATTTAAAATTTTTTTTAGTTTTTAAAAAGATTTTATTCATGAGAGTCACAGAGAGAGGCAGAGACACAGGCAGAGGGAGAAGCAGGTTCCCTGCGGGGAGCCCGATGTGGGACTTGATCCCAGGACCCTGGATCATGACCCAAGCCAAAGGCAGACGCTCAACCACCGAGCCCCCCAGGCGCCCCTCCACACTTCCCATACTTCCAAGGACATTTCTACCTTGGTAACTCAAAGACACCTCGAACTCCATGTTCCTAAACCCGGTGCGCTGCACTCTTTCTCAATGTCATTCTCGCAACATCACCTCTCGGAGAAACCGGGACCATCACCTATCTTGTCATCCAGGTCAGAAGTGCAGCTCCTCCCATATAGACCCCCCCCCCCCCGCAGCAACCACGTCAACTCGTCACTTGTTCCTTGGTTCAACACACTCACTGAGCACCTGCTACAGGCCGGACGCCGTGTCAGGTGTGATGACGTGACACAGACAGTTGCTACCCTCCCGAGGAGCATCCAGCACGAGGCTCGTCTCATCTACCAGCTGTTGCTCACACCGGCTCCTCCGAGCCGTGCTTGGCTGTGGGGCCCGAGCTCTGCTCCCTGCCGACCCCGAGGCACGCGGCAAGGGCCACGGCCTTCAACCACGCGGCAAGCCCTGGTGGGCCCCGACGAGGACGGAGTCACCGAAACGGACCAAGAGGAACGGGCCGGACTTACGAGGGGCAGAGATCTCTTGGGTAAGAGCGAAGCAGGCGCTGCTCGCAAGGGACCTCTGCGACTCCGTTGGCTCCTTGCCACACGGGCTCGGCACACACGGGGGCTCTCAGGCCGTGGCGGCAGCGAGACGGGCGGGGGTCAAGGGCCGCCGCGGCCCAGGCTGTCCTAGCAACCTGGCTCCAGGGAAATAAAGGAGGACTCGGCACACGCTGAGATAAGGACCTCCCTAAAGCTCTACCAGCCACAAGGCTGGACGTTTTTATTTAGCTCTTCGGGTATCTCAAGTATGGCACAAAGGAGAAGATGGCACGTTGTCACAAGCCAGAGGGAACAGGCACGTTTCATCCCAAATGGCAGCTCAGGCAAATGGCAGGGACTGTGGGGGCCCCAAACGGAGGCAGACTCTTAAGGCTGATCATATGCATGTGACATGGCCACGGGGCGGGGGTACCCACATACCCACATCTCTTGGGCCATAAATTTGCCACACCTGCTCTCTGTTACCACTACCCCCAGCTCATCTGTGGCTTGGAATCCGCAAACAGGATACTGTAGATATATTTCTGTGCTTTTTTGAAATTAAAAAAAAAACTTCCCCTTTAATTTTTTTTTTTTCCTTTTATAAAAATAACCGAATCAAGGACCACAAACCACGGAAGGGATTTTTTTTTTTTGTGGGCACCTATGGTAGTTTGGAGGTTCGGTGCACCCTCTAGAGGCCAGATGCAGTGACGGCCAGGCTGGACAGAGAGCCCAGGGCCATACGTGGGTGAAGGTCCATCCACAGAACCCAGCCAGGGATCCCGGTCTGCCGGGGCTTAGTGATTTCCTATCAGGTGTGTTATGACAACAGAGGCTTGAGAAATAGAAAGAAACAAAACCTGGAAGACCCTGGAAAATTCTATCTCTGGATATGCCACTGAAATATCTCTGAATTTGCCATCCTGAAATTACAAATTTTCCAAAAGAGGCTATCAACTTTTCTTTATACTCTGGAAATGCGAGGCCATGATAATTAACACACGCAATGACCATACACATAAAGCGGTCTGTAAGGTATTGCAGGTCACGCTGGGTCAGGAAGGTGGTCAGGTTGGAAAACCAAATAAACCTGAACCCCTCAAATTGAAGTGAGAGCCGTTAACTCAAGCTTAGCCTCTGGGGACACTCAGAGAGTGTCTTCTTAGCATCCCAGCTAAATTTTATTCCTGGAATTGGTAGAGTCCTGGTTTCATTAATCAAGAGTCTTCCACTAGTTCAGAGAGGGCAGAGTAGAATGAACTCATTTCTGAGCCAAGTTATAGTTAATCTGGGAAGAAAAAGACAGGTTAAGTTTGCTTAGTTTATACACAGCCATTGCTTCAAGGCATGTGGAGGACATTTCCCACCTCTGAGGCTCATAAACACATGCAAAGTGCCTCCCCAAAGGTGTAATCTCTCGCTTGTTTGACCCAGGATCCTTTTTTCCCCACATCTGGATGCACAAAATGCATTCATCAATTTATATGCTTTCATTGAATTAACATCTACTGGACATTCGTGGAGTCCAGGCACTATGCTAGACACCCGGGGTGGAAAAGAAAGACACAGTCTATGTCCTCCTGGAGCTTCCAGTCCAGCGGGGGAGCCTAGAATCATCTGAGCAGCATATGAGGCACCAGACAGGGCTGCAGACACAGGGTTTGACGAAGGAACTGTAAACCTGTGTTTGGGAGGGAACACCCTGTGTAGTCCTGCCACCTGACAACGCTGTAGGAACAGTGACCTGCCTTCACTTACCGCTAGTCATCAGATATTCTCGAAAGAGAGGACACCGGAACCAAAATGGGAGCACGTGAAGATACGCAGTGAAGCCAGGAAACAGCTCCTCGAAGTCTGAATGATTCGTACAAAAATTTCCAAAGGCTCCAGCAACAAGCACTCCGTGCGGGTGAAACCCAAATATATAGTTGTGACTTGGATCCAGATCCCAAGTTTTGATGAGCTACAGTATATAATGAGTTTAAAAACAAAACAAAACAAAACAAAAAAAAACACAGTCCCAGATTAGTTTCCAGTAAGAAACAAAGCAAAACAAAACAATCTCATGATTAGTTTTTATGTCAAAAGGAAACGGGAAATACGACTTGTGTTGTTCTCTGGGTTAGAGCTGTTTCCAAATTTACAAACTGTTTCCTGAGCCCAGAGACTTGAGAAATTAATAGAAATAAATAGAAAACCTGGAAGACCTTGGAAAATTCTCTCTCTCCACAAAGCCTTCGAAATGGTGTCAATTTAGCTTAGGTCCCATTTAGTCACTTGGGTCAAAGAAAAAAGGCTTTTTCCCTCTGGAAGGAGAAAAGCCTGACCTATCTGTGATGAAAACAAATTTCCATTCTTCTCCCCGCTCCAAATAATACTACAGAAAACCAATGTACTCACGTGAATTGGAAAATAGTCCTTAAAATACCTCCAAACGGTCCAGCTTCTGACCCAGTTGGATCTCCTGCCTCCCTGCTCTGGGGTCCGCCAGTCAAGGCAAAGCCATGTTAGATAAGGGACGTAGAGGAACCAATAGTTGTGCACGATCAGTACCACTATGATTCCGATGCACACCTGCGCTGTAGGAACAGGGAAGACCTCAGGGGTCAGGTCAGTTAGCATCTGCTCACTGGACTATATAATCAGGGGTCCACGGCAGGGGGACTTAATTCACAAAGTGTGTTAAACTGAGCCTCAGTTCGAGGGAGGTAATATAACAAGACAGCAATGATATAGGGTCATTTAACATTTATTGGATATTTCCTACATGCCAAGTATTGGATTGTGTGCTCTGCCGAAATAGTTTCATTTAATCCTTATGCAGCTGCAGTATCAATGGAGCAGCCACAGTCCTTTCCAAAGAATTAAAAATGGCAGAGAGAGGTTGAATGAATTGCCCAAGCCCCAGGGAAAGGAAGTGGTTGTTCTAAATCCACAGTCCACTCTCCAAGCCCATGGTCTATACCACCTCCCTGACATAATTTTTGGAGGAATCATTGCTGAACAAGGAACGCAAAGGAGTCCCTGCTACAAGTATTCACCTTGCTGGGCAGCCGTTAATTGTGTGCCCACAAAGGGGGAACATTCTTTTTTTTCTCCCCCAAAGATTTTATTTATTTATTCTGAGAGACACACAGAGAGAGGCAAAGACACAGGCAGAGGGAGAAGCAGGGTCCCTGCGGGGAGCCCAGTGTGGGACCCGATACCAGGACCCCGGGGTCACACCCTGAGCCAAAGGCAGATGCTCAATCACTGAGCGACCCAGGTGCCCCCAGAAGGAACATTCTAGCAACAAACTCTGTTTTCAGGATCTCTATGGCCAGAGACAGAAATAGCATAGGAGGAACCCCCCCCTTTTTTTTTAAAGATTTTATTTATTTATTCATGAGAGACAGAGAGACAGAGGCAGACACAGGCAGAGGCAGAAGCAGGCTCCATGCAGGGAGCCCGACGTGGGACTCGATCCCAGGTCTCCAGGATCAGGCCCTGGGCTGAAGGCGGCGCTAAACCGCTGAGCCACCCGGGCTGCCCCAGGAGGAACTCTTTATATCATAGCTCATCTATCACGACTTGCAACATTTCATTATGACAAAGCAAAACCCAAATTGTTTATGCACCTACTGACATAACTTCAAATACATGAAGCAAGAATTGACAAAACCTGACCTGGGTAGTCGTCATGAGAATGTTTGCCTTAAGGTACTGCATGCAGTAAGCCAAGCTAGACATTTTCCTCTTATGTCTGTGCTATTAGACACTAAAAAATACTTCTAGAAAGAAAGATATGAGGCACCTGGGTGGCTTAGTCAGTGAAGCGTCTGACTCTTGATTTCGGCTCAGGTCATGATGTCAGGATCCTGAGATTGAATCCCAGGTCTCCAGCTCAACACTCAGCCAGAGGTCTGCTCAACATCCTCTCCCTCTCCCCCACCCACCCCCACTTGCATGCTGTCTCTTAGATAAATAAATAAATCTTTGAAAAAGAGAGGGACACCTTGGTGGCTCAGGGGTTGAGCATCTGCCTTTGGCTCAGGGTGTGATCCCAGGATCTGGGATCGAGTCCCATATCGGGCTCCCCGTAGGGAACCTACTTCTCCCTCTGCCTGTGTCTCTGCCTCTCTCTGTGTCTCTCATGAATATATAAATCTTTAAAAAAAAAAAAAGAGGGAGAGAGAATTATATTAATGAGAGAGAAAGGGGAGCATAAAGTCATAAAGCTTGGCACACAGCATGCTCTCAATAAATGCCACCTGCTCCTGTAAGGAGTATCCTTGGCTCTTCCTCCTCCGGTACGTGCTGTAGTCTTGGTTTTGGAGCTGACTTCCATCCCCCAAACTCCTGCCTACTGCCTGTCAACTGTGTTACAGAGACTTTTGTTCCAAACCATCATGGTACCTGATTAACAGCACCCTGACCTATTATTACAGTTTGGGAAATGAATTTTTTTTTTTTTTTTTGCCAAAAATAACCCCACGTATATTTCTGGAGACACAGAAATCAATAAAGAGCCCAGTATCGGTTTAACCTAAATACAGAGTGGACCCCCATGAGAGGACCGGGCTGCTCTGTCTACGGTAGGCCAAAGTTTGTGCACTTTGGCCGCGTGCAAGGTTAAGGGAGGATGCGCCCTCTCCCCTCCCGGGTGTCCTGTTGCATTCTGGAACAGTCGGCCAAGTTTCCACGGCCCCAGAAGCACAGCCGAACACGGTGTCCTCTGCCCTCATTCCTACCAGGATCATTTCATTTTGCTTCACCTGCTTCCCTCTGCCCAGGGCCCAGGGCTGACAATTCGCCACTGTTGGTTAATGTTCCCTTTATTTTACTAAAATGTGTAAAAAAAAAAAAAAATGTGTAAGAAACTCAGAAAGGTCTCATCACCCCGGGCTCTACGCTATATCAGGGGAGGCTTGATGGAGGAGGGATCGAAGGGGACAGTTCCTGGCGGCGACTGCCTCCCTCGAGCAGCGTCTGTTTCTCTCCTCCCAACCCTCACGGCGCACAGTCCTGTTCCCATTCTGCAGATGTGGAAACTGAGGCTCAGCGATTTTTTTTTTTTTTTAAGGATCCAAAGGGCTTGAACCTGGATCTGCCGAATTCTTAAACCCATATGCTTTTTTTTTTTAAAACCAAACCAAACTAGTCTTAGCTCATGGCAACAGCACCGTAAACTAGCAAATTGTTATCACAAGCGCAGCAGCAGGCTCAGAGGCATAAAAAAAAAAAAAAAAAAAAATCAGGCAAACGAGAGGTTTCTGTTTTCCTCACTATGATAGAGAAACTGAGACCGAAAGCACACGAACTTAATTTGAACCAAGAAGAGGCAAGAGCAGATCCAGAAAGAGAGTCCGCGGCTGCCGGGTCAGCGTTCCCCTGAACCCAACCCCACACGCACTACTTGAACGCGTGTCTCTTCAGCAGCCACTAAACGTGCCACCTGGATGGCGGTTCAGCCGAGGATCTGGAGTTGGGCTGCTCACGCTGGAACCTGCCACCGAGCAGCTAGCTGCCCGGCCTGCGGCGGGTTCTTTTACTCCTTGAACCTTAATCCCTGCACCTGTGACCTGAGCCCAGCACATCACCTGCCTCCAGGGACTGCAGGGAAATAAACGTAGAGACGTCATGGGCCTGGCCCGCAGCAAGCACCTGACCAACGGGCGCCAGCATTATAGCAACCGTGTTCACCTTTACACCATTACACCTGCAGAGAGTGCAAAAAGTAAAAGCAGGTAAAATATCACCCACCTTCTTGTCACTCAACAAAAAAAAGTATTGTTAAAATTTTCCTTGCGGTCTTTTTTTTTTTTTCCCCTATGAACAGGTTGTTTCCGTAACATGGTTGATCACATTTTGAAAAAAATTTTCCATATTGCGGGGACGCCTTGGTGGCTCAGTGGTTGAGCATCTGCCTTTGGCTCAGGTCATGACCCTGGGGTCCCAGGATCGAGTCCCTAATGGGCTCCCCACAGGGAGCCTGGTTCTCCCTCTGCCTGTGTCTCTGCCTCTCTCTGTGTGTCTCTCATGAATAAATACATAAAATCTTAAAAAAAAAATTTTCTGGGGCAGCCCCGGTGGCCCAGGGGTTTAGTGCCGCCTGCAGCCCAGAGTGTGATCCTGGAGACCTGGGATCGAATCCCACATCAGGCTCCCTGCGTGGAGCCTGCTTCTCCCTCTGCCTGTGTCTCTGCCTCTCTCTGTGGGTCTCTCGTGAATAAATAAAATCTTTAAAAAAAATTTCCATATCGTATCTCTCGTGATGACCTCACACTGTTTCATATCATAAATCTGGTATTAAAACCTCTTCATAAATGGTTTTTGATGGCTGATGGACATTCCATTGACTGGGAATACCAATTCAACCATTCTTTTCTTTTTGAAAACATGGGCTTCTAGCAGATTTTCTCTCTAAACATAATCTCGCATAACATTTCCCCACATTTCAATTTATTTCTAGTGGACAGTCGGTCAGTAAAACCCTGGATCACCAAGCATCAACACCTGTCACTTGATACACTTTGATCCTTCGCAGTCCAAAGGAGCTGTTCTAATTTTAACTCCCACTCCACACATTGCATACATTCTTTAATATTCCGTATCATGAACAGCACCAAAATAGCTTTTGAAATCCCATGATCCTAAGTCGGATGGAAAGAAGAAAACATCAAAAAAACCAGGTGACCAGATCACCTCTCTTTTCTATTCTTAGCTCATTAAGCAATCCCAGGTAACACGACTCTCCTGAATTGGAGGTCAAAAAGATACAAAAGTCTACTCCAGCACAATGTGCAGTTTTCAAAACTGAGGTTGATACCTTCGAAAACAGCCTTGATCCACCAACCAGGCTGCACCGAAGGCCTGACATTTCAGTTGCTTCAACTGAGGCTAATGTTGAATGGAAAGCCCCTCGCCAGCCTCTATCTTTCATCCTCCATTATAACCTCACACCCGTACATTCTACTTCCTCTACATCATCAGGAAGCTGCTTCCCCCTCACTTTTTATTGGGGTGAAACTCACATAAATTAACAATTTTCAAGAAATCAATCTGGTGACACTTAATACATTCACAATGCTGTATAACTACCACATGTACCTGGTTGCAAAATACTCAGATCACTCAAAAATATAACCCTGAACCCATCAGGCAGTTATTCCAATTCCCTTCTTTTATGCCCCAGCCACCACCAATCTGCATTACGTTTCTAAGGATTTACCTGCTCTAGGTATTTCATAGAAATGGAATGATCCAATATGTAAGCTTGTGTAGACTTTCACTTAACATCAGGTTTTTGAGGCTCATCCATCTTGAAGTATGTATCAGTGCGCACCTATCGTATGAGTATGTATTCGTTCTCCTTTAGGGCTGAATGATGTCCCCCTGTATGGGCCATATGACGATTCGTTTACCCATTCATCTGTTCAACAGTCGTCATTCAACATTTGGGCAGTTCCTACCTTTTGGCTCCTGTGAATAATGCCGCATGCCCCACCTGCCTCAACAGTACTAAACGTCAGAAATGAGGCTCGGCCAAAATGTAGGGCATTGTCGTTAAATGTAACATCACCAATAAAGGGACAAAATG